CCTTATAGTCATTTTACACAACCGCTCATATTAAAAAGCACTTCTAATAGTTTTACAGCCAAACACTAAACTGCTTTTTTTGAAAAGTACTTATCTAAAAGCTCCAGCCAGAAGCTGCTTCTGCAAAAGCTACAGCAGGGCCAAACTAAGCTAATATGTGGCTAAGTGTTGGAGCAACCCTGCTAGTGTGGTTAGGGGGTAACCAACATACCCCCTTAATGTGACCTCGGGAGAGGAGGGGGAAGGGGGTAAAATTTGGCTAAGTATGGAGAGTGATGGCTTGTTGGAGAACCCCCCATGGTGTGGCCAGGGGTGGCCATCAACATATCCTTGGTGCAATACCAAGGGGGTGATCAACATACTCCCCCTAGTGTGACGAGGTGGGGTAATCAACATGCCCCTTAGTGTGATGAAGTGTGGTAAAATTCGGCTATGTTTGGGGAATGGTGTCAACGTGTGTGGTGCAGTATACATAGGGCTGCAAACGAGCTGAGTTTTGTCCCAACGTGAGCTCGACTTGTTAATAAATGAGTCAAGCTCGTTTATTAACAACTCGAGTCGAGTCGAGCTCGAGTTAGGATTGTTTACTAAAATCTTGACTCATATTTGATATATTCATTTTGTATGTTATGTATGGTACTTGTGATTAATGTCAAGATGAAAAAATAATAATAGTGAAATGTTCAACATGAAATAATTCAATGTCATACTCTATTGGTATCATATTATTTAGTTAATAAATTTTAACTACTACATATCATGTTATTTCATAGAATCGAAGCAACCTAGGATACGTAATTTATTTTTAAAATTAAAAATAAAACATATTTGCTCACATACTCAACGTGTTAAACTTCATATAGGGTGAGATATATAATTTAATAGTCATATGAATTATCAAAATCCAACTCATAAGGTATCAATTGATTCTCTCATAGGTTGGTAATCGAGTTGGCACTCTAAGCACTATGTTGAGACATCTCGTGAGCTCTAAATGAGATAGCTCATGAGCTAAGCTCAACAAGCCATCGAGTCAAGCTAGATTATGAGCTTCGCGAGCCGAACAAGGCTTAGTTCAAGCTTGGCTTGTTAGTAAGCGATTTGAGTTTTGAACGGATTTTCCCCAAACCGAACGTCAAGCTACTCGCGAGCAGTTTGGCTCATTTGCAGCCTTGTATACACCTAGGGATGACAAGAAAATCCGAACCCATGGGTACCCTACCCGACCCAACCCGGTCAACGCGGGTAAAACCCGTGTTGATGGGTTTTCGGCCGGCTTTGAGTTTAAACCAATTACACTTTCACCGGGCTGGGTTGGGTTTTGGTTTAGAGATACCCGACCCATGGATACCCGCCCATACTTATTTCGTCACCTACTCTCTCCAAACTCTACTCTAATTCTAATTTCCCCCAATCTAATTTACAATTTGTATGGATAATTTGTGATTTGTTTGAATTTCTAGATTGGTGTTTTATGTATGGATAATTTGTATGGAGAAATTGACGTTTGACTTTTATTTTGATAGGAACTTGTTATTGTAAATTTTTTACAACAAAAATCCACGGGTACCCAGCGGGTTGGGTTGGGTTAGAGTTTTCCAAACCCAGTGGGTTTTACCCCGGGTTTTTTTGGTGGATAAACTCATGGGCTTGGGTTTGGGTTTGGCAAAACCCGATCCAACTTGACCCATTGTCATCCCTATATGCACCCTAGTAGATGAAATATGGCCAAAATTTGGCTAAGTGTTGGAGTACTCCTCATCGTGTGATTAGGGGGTACTCAGCATACCCCTTGATGCAATATTGTGGGGTGAAATATGACTAAGTATGCCGCCCTCGTGTCATAAGTAGTGAATAATTTTTGCTATTTTGGCCAATGTGATACAAATACCCACGCACATTGAGAATCAAATATCTATCATATGGTTAAGGAAGAGATGTTAACTTTTGTTAGATGATTTTGGGGTAAATTGCAAGATTGGTCACTCGAAGTGCTAAAATATTCACGTCTGGTCACTAAAAGAATTTTATTTCATTCGTGGTCACTGGAAGTGCTTAACATTTCATGATTGGTTAGTCTCTGTTAGTCTCCATCCGTCTCCGTTAACACAGTTAGTGTTTTGCTGATGTGGCTAATAACAGTGCTGATTCACCCAATTTAAACCTGCCACGTCATATAATTTGACCCGCCACATAAGAAAACCCACATAATCCAACCAAACCACATAACCGGACCTTTCCTCTCCACATTTCAATCTCCATCTCAATTTCATCTTCTCATTCCGCTGCCGCCTCATCAATCATCATCATGGGAGTTTCTATTATATGAGGAACTAGACTTGGTCTCGCCTAGATTCAAGAAATCTCTCTCTACCACTTCTCCTTATGACAATGCGAACAACCAAACCCATCTTGAATTGAGCGGAGAAGACAATTTTTTTGCCATTTTGGCCAAAAACCAGCGTAGACCACGATTGGGAGCTCTTGAGTTTTTGCTTACGCGGGAGGAGGAAAGAATCAGGAGCATAACATACCACGATTGGGGATCTGGTCCACGATTAAGGATTCAGAGAGTAGGGGTGCTGGTTCGGTTCGGGTTGGGTAACCAAACCCAAAACTAGAGGAAACCCGGCAACCCGAACCCGTTACTGTACAACCCGAAACCGAACCCGAAATTGCAGCTTGCTGGTTTCGGTTGTTAGCTTAGCCCAAATTGCAGAAGATGGGTTTCGACGGCGGCTGTTGAGTTTCCCCGCTGGCGGTGAGAATGATGATGTAACGATGGGAGCTTAAATGTACTAAAGGTAGAGTTGGGGTTGTCTTTTGTAATTTGGCAGCCTATAAAACAATCAATCGAATAAGAAATTGCAGAACTCTTTTCCCTGTTCTTCTTCTCCTTCCCTATCTCTGTCTTTCTTCTTTCTCCTTCTCTTCTCTGTACTCTTCTTTCTTCTTCCTCTTCCCTAACTCTGCTCAATTCCACAGTCTGTTCAATTAACTCGCCGGGAAAGATCCAGCTTTCGACCTCAATCATTACAGATGATGGCGGCGAGGACGGTGACGGCGAGGGAGTTACACCGGACGATGCTAGGTTTGAGCGTTTGCTGAAACGTAACGGCGACTTGAGGCGAAAAGTAGGGATTTCATCCGTCCCGGAATTGCAGCGTCGTCTCAATTCTCACCATAAACGACATTTATTGAATTCGGGTTCTCGGACTGGTGTCGGTTTTCGGGGTTCACTGAAACCGAAACCACTGACAGCATATGCGGGATGAAACCGAAAACCGAAAGAGCATATATCGGTTCGGTTTCGGGTTAACCCGAAAAACCGAAACCGATCTGACACCCCTACCAGAGAGGCGATCTTCTAACGATTCACCAAAGGTGGTGGAGGATTTTGCAGTAGATCTTCTTCTTGATCAGTCGTCGCCGCTTGCTTCTCGTCTTTGAGTCTTTTAAAGCTTTTAAGAAACCCAGATGCCAAAGTCGTTCAATATGTGTTTGTAGTGATTTGCGACGCTTATCGGGATGGCATAGCATCTCCCCGCGCTCATGTTCACCCCATAGAATTTAGATCCGTCGATGATGTCTGCATACCAGATGTAGAGGTGAAAGGACAGTGGGTTCTGCAAATTTTGCTGGTGTTGCGATTCACTGACTCTAGGACAGATTCAAGTAGTGTCTGGCAATGATTGATGAAGCGGTGAGCTGAGAGTGGGAGAAAAGAGAGCTACGAGTGGATTTAGGGTTTCAAGTGGGGTGGAATAGAGGAATAAGAAGATGCGCGAAGAAGAAGAACAAGTCTGGTCTTAGACGAATTTTGCATAAAAAGGGAAGAGGAAGAGTCTAGGGAAGAAGGAGATGGATCGGGAAAAATGACCCCTCTGTTTCTTCATTTTTATTTTATTGGGTTGTTCTTAGGTGGTCAGCCCGTATCATGGGTTGGGTTCACGGGTTGGTTGGAATCTGACATGGTGGGTAAAATTAATGGGATGGTCGAGTTTCTTTTTTCTGGGCTAATTCAGGCTGATTGGACAATTCTGTTAGCCACATCAGCAGATAACGAACTCCGTTAACAGCGAGGAATGGAGACTAACGGAGAGTGACCAATCGTGAAACTTTAAGCACTTCTAATAACCACGAATGGAATAAATTCTTTTAGCGACTAAAAAAGAACATTTTAGCATTTCCAAGTAACCAACCTTGCAATTTACCTATAATTTCCTAATCAAGGATTTATTAAGGTAAAGCAACAGCCTTGAAATGTCGGTCCCATTTAAGCAAAAAAATAATGAAGGCAGGGAGGGAAGGGAACAAACCTCCACGCGCCTCGATCTGATCGGTCACAACAGTAGTAATAATATAAAAATCCGTCTGCAGCAAATCTTGCCTACAAAGCTGACATTTTCCCCCTTTTCTCATTCGCAACCTGGAAGGAAGTATTCAGTTCTCTTCTCCACCACTGTAGCAGTTATTTCGCAACCTGCGCAGGTACTGCCATTTCCAAAACCCTCCATTTCCTCTACGCTCTTCCTTCGCCGTTGAATCAATGGGACATTCCGGCCATCCCTCTCCCCTCATGACCGATCTCCTCCGCCACTCCGGCGGCGTTGCCATCATCGACGGCGGCCTCGCCACCGAGCTCGAGCGCCACGGTGCCGACCTCAACGATCCGCTCTGGAGTGCCAAGTGTCTCCTCACTTCTCCTCATCTCATCCACACGGTACTCTTCCTCTCTGTACCCCTATCTGCGTTTGCATTTGGTGGAATATGTGCCTTTCTATGTTTTGTTGCGTGCTCAATTGATTCTTCTTTTTCACATTGAGAATATCTAGGGCAAAAGTACCCAACTGTTAATTTTTTTTTGTTGGAAAACTTTCGATAGTGTTTATTTTCGTTTCCGCGCCGGTGCTTAATTAGCTGGATGCTGCCGGAAGTTTGGTCAGCGGCTGTGGACCGCCATGTGGGGTGCTGGTCCTTTGGGCCTTCTCCTTTCTGCCGAAAATTTAAGCTCTGTATTGATTTGTTTTTGGCATAATGGCCAATGGACCCCATCACCATGTAAATGTAGTTTGTCGTTGTTCGCAGCTCTCTCTCGCTTTTCTCTAGGTTCAGACTTGCGTTCTTTTTTTGTTTCGATTAAGCAAGCAGGTTAGGAGAAAAATTGTTAAAGGTATAGTTCCGACGGCTTAGCTAAAACTTCTAAGGTCTTGGCCTGGCTCGTGTAGTTCATCGCTTCTTAGGGCAACTTAAATGAACTATGGCACACATTGTCGATTGATGTTGGAACGTTGGCCAGAGTATCATGGTAGATGAAGCGCAAATGGGAGATTTATAAACTTGGAGTTTGTTTTTGCAGTTTAACTTGGATTTTGCCATGTAACTCCTCTCTTTTGTTTAAGCAGGAATCCGCCGAGTATTTCCCTTGTTTTTAATCACTACTAACTTCTTTGAAATGGGTAATCATCTTGAAAAATTACCCATTATGAAAATTTTGTTTGTTTGGTTGGAATTCATGAATTGTGCAACTTGAAGAAGAGTTTGCATTCCTTTCCGTTCTAACTGTGTTTCGTGGCTGAGCAGGTGCACACTGACTATCTTGAAGCTGGCGCTGATATTATTATCACCGCTTCATACCAGGCAATGACACGGTCTCCCTTCTTTGCGTACATGGACGTGGCTGTAAAACTGACCTCTTTGTTTGTTGCTGTTATCAAACAGGCTACCATTCAGGGATTTGAGGCAAAGGGATACACTACCGAGGAAGGTGAAACCATGCTCAGGAGAAGTGTGGAGATCGCATGTGAGGCAAGGGAAGCCTATACCAAAAGGTGCAAAGAAGCTCAACATGACATTGATAGTAGTGGCAAAGTCTTGAAGCAGCGGCCCATTATAGTTGCTGCTTCTGTTGGCAGCTATGGAGCTTATTTGGCAGATGGATCAGAGTACAGGTGCATTAATCCCCTACATCATTCATTTTCCTTTTTCTTTTATGGAGTTAGGACTTCTAGTCGCAGACTTTTCATTTCACACAACTATTGACTCTTCACATAATAGTTCACTAAAGGCAGTGTTCTTCCATACTTGACCCTGGATTTTGGAACCTATATGAATGATTGATCACAATTCTCCTTGTTAGCTAGCTATGTGTTGTCTATCCTTGGATGACGGCCTACTTCTATCTTGATTATAGATGCCCATCACTACACGAGTCACGGGAGGGCCTTCTCTAAATCCATTTCCAGATGCTGTTTCAAACTTATTCTCTGAAATATTCATATCCCTATCAGAAAAGTTGACAAATTTTGCAATTTGTTGTTTTGTGATTACAGTGGAATCTATGGTGAAGCTGTTAACTTGGAGACCTTGAAGGAGTTTCATCGCAGAAGGGTTAAAATCTTGGCAGAATCTGGTGCTGATCTCATAGCATTCGAAACCATTCCAAATAAGGTGGAAGCTCAGGTAATCAACCACAACTCCCAGGACAGTTACAGACTGGTTGCATGTCACAATAATGCCTTATTTTTGTCTCAATGTTGGATCAAGAGCTGTAGAGATGCTGAGACAGGGAAACAAAATACAATGGCAGTTTGAACACCTTGTATTTGTTTAACAGCATTGCTACATTTGTAATTTGCTGGCTTAAAGTCTTTTGCTGCACATGCATGCAGGCCTATGTTGAGCTCTTAGAGGAAGAAAACATTGAAGTTCCTGCATGGTTTGCTTTTAACTCCAAGGACGGAATCAATGTTGTTAGTGGTGACTCTTTGATTGAATGTGCCACTATAGCAGATAGATCCAAGAGAGTTGTGGCCGTTGGGATCAACTGTACACCTCCTAGGTTTATCCATGAATTGATATCATCCATTAGAAAGGTACTATTTATTTTCTCATGCGAATGTGTGAATGCATTCATCACGAGTGAAGAGAGATCTGAGTGAACAAGTCCTCTTCTTGATTTCAACCGTAAACTGACATAATCTTGTCCTTCTATGGAAATGAAGATACTGTGCAACAAGAATATCCTGTCTTTCTGAAACTTTAGTGTTTACTTGGCAGGACTCATCTCGTCTTTATATGAAAATTCGAGTTTACAGTCTGATGCTCCGACTTATGTTAGAATGGTTTACTTACCGAATGTATTTCGTGTTTCCAGGTAACAACCAAACCAATCCTTATATATCCGAACAGTGGGGAATGCTATGATGCAGAAATAAAGGAGTGGGTGGTAAGTTTCTCTCAGCAGTTCAACGTGCAGCAATTTGGTTACTACTTCCAATTAAAACACTGCATACTGCTAATCATTAAGCTTCTGCCTAGGTGGTATGAAAGTTTATCTCATCTCCTTCCCCTTCTCATTCCACAGATTTGAGATCCTGCTGTATGCATAGATAGGTTGCATTTATTAGATGTTACATTCTTGAAGTCAAGTGTCCAACCCTTGACTCATTGTTTAAACATTCACATCATTATTGCTAATTATACACATCATACGTTTTGGTTTTTAAATTTCGGAGATGTACTAATGTTGGCATGTTTTATTTTCTCTATCTGGTGCAGCATAACACAGGGGTTTCTGATGATGATTTCGTATCATATGTAAACAAGTGGTGTGATGCAGGGGCTTGCCTGGTTGGAGGTTGTTGTAGAACAACTCCTAATACCATCAGAGCCATCTACAAAACCCTTGCCAATAGATCAACCGATGCACCGATGTAGAGCACACTTCAAGTTTGAACGAGACAGAAACCGTTATGATAGTATTAGGGTCCGGATTTTTCAGCACACTTATCGACACAAGAATATTATCAGGGACTGGGGTTAGCAGTACGAGGGGGCTTGATTGGTTAAATTTTGTGCCTCTACTACACAATGACCAAAAAATGCTGCGACTTAAGCTACGTCTTTTTCTTTAATTTAGTTCTGTATTTCATGGCCCCTTAATGAAGCGGATGATTCTTCATGTATTGAATCTTTCCCACTTGTCATTATGGAGGATTCAGTTGTTTATTCTTTTTACACACTTAAGAGCAGTTACCAATTGGATGGTATGAGCGAATTTTTTTTTATCAAACTAAGCCAATGGTTAGGGATCGGTTCCCACAGCGCCATAGCAGAGAGGCTGGAGTGGATGAATGAAAATGTGCAGAAACAAAAGTTGAAGAAGACTGAGATTTTATTCCTCTCTCGTAACGTCAATACCAAAAAAGGATCACCTCACCCTTCTGTTTTGATCCCTACAATCCTCCAGGTAAAGAAAGAAAGATGGTACTCTCCGCGAGGCATCTCCTTGAGAAGTGACTTCGGGGCGGTGTAGGAAGGAAGCCGGCGAGGGGCTTCATTGTCGCCGATATCGTTGTCGTCGTCATCGTTAACGGGGATCGAAGTGGCATAGGCGTCCCTGTCCGTTCCGCCGTAGAGGTCCTTGTCGTAAGTGAGAGAAGTCAGGGAGGCGAGCTCCTGCTCCATTTTCTTCCGCTCCTCCTGCGTCTTGGCTATCTCTGGATCCATTGCAGCAACTCAGAGGAAACAACTGATTGAATTAGGGTCTTCTACCAGAACTGATGTGAAGATCTCACTGCGAGAAGAAGAACGGGAACAGAGAAGCGAGAAAGATTTATCAGAGTTCGGGTTTGTGAGAAATATCGATTGCGAAATCTATACGAAGAAGAGAAGCACTAAGGGAATTAACCAACTCAGAGCAGCAACAGCCCACCATCGACGAAATCTCAATCCCTTGCCCAATTCGTTGCGTCAATCAAACTCAGACCTCGAACCGTCACTATCTCCAGGGCCTCTCGGCAACGGTGGGCCGAAGTCAGTGGCGGTTGAGTAGACCGGCAACGGCGGCACCCTGCACGAGCCTCGACGGTTACACTGCACGAGCCCCGACGGTTACACTTCCGTAGTAGTGCGGTGGTTACATCGTGCGGATATCGGTCCAGATAAGTACAGCCTCCCTTATTTTTTATTTTTATTTATTTCCCTTTATAATTGTCCTCCATATTTTTTTTCAATTATTATTTTCAACTTTTTTCAATTTTATCTTCTATACCTATTGCGTATTTTTTAAAAAACTGTACACATGAAACAAAATTAGGTCCCCTCTTTGTGGTTAAAAAAAGAATCCCATCTCTGATAGTGGGTCGTGAATTTCGCCTCGTGCGTTCTGGCCAATTACGGCCTCCGCCATCGTGCGCCGCCGTGCTGAAGCTCAGGCTTCCTTCAATCCCTGCCTGGTTTGATTTGAGGGTGCTGTCAAGCAAGATTGGGGAGGCAACATCGGGTTCGTTGGTTTGACCAATATGGCGTTCTTGCCTTTGCTTTCGGTAAGTCCTATGATGATATAATTGACTCGTTCCTTATGGCGCTTTTGGCACTTTGCGATGCAATGAATTGGTGTCTAACTAGGGGTTTTTTATCTATCAAATTCTTTGGGGACTCGCATTTGGTGATTTGGCGGATATTATCGGACAAGCGACGTCACGTGGCCGGAGGAGCCAGGAGCGGTACTGGAGGACATCCACCGATTGGACTGCGCTCAGCGTAGCTTCCACAGGGCCGCCCATTTTGTGGCATAGCAAGCCCTTTCATCGGAAGTTCGACTATTGGTCGACTTTCGCACGGTGTTATATTCTGTTTTCTGACTTTTTGACTTTTCGATTTGTACCTGCCTATGTTAAAAAAAAAAAAAAATGGTTAGGGATCGGTTAGCCTGACTACCCCTAAAGGGGTAGTCATTTTCGACACCCATCATCTAAGCCGTCCATTGTAGATAGTCTTAATCTAAGATTAATTGCTTACAGTTAGGGGTCGTTTGGAAAATATGAGTTTAAATCTATAGATTGTCAACAATCTAAAGATTCTAACTCTCCAGATTGTTGAAAACAGATTTTAAAATGTTTATTGTTTGGTAACTGTGATTGTTAACAATCAAGTAAAATAAAAAAATTATTTTATATTAAATAACATGTTTATCCTTAATAAAAAAAAATTAGAGTGGTTCGAGAAATATAAAAAAACTTTGTTGATAAATATATTTTATGTGATAAATAAATAAAAGAAAGAGAAAAATTAGGAGAGAAAAAATCTCACGAATCAAGATATAGAATCTCTCTGATTAGGAGAGATTTGATATCCGCGGATTTTAGAGATTTGAAATCTCTAAAACTAGAATCCACAATACAAAAAGTAACAAAAAAACATAACTTTCTACAAAATCTACGGATTCAATGAATCCATGTCCTGAATCCTGTTCTCCAAACGACCCCTTAGTAATTATTGCTCTAATTCAATAATTAATTGCATAGAAAAAGAGAAAGAAGTAAAAGTGGCGACCCCACCCATAATTTAAAATTCATTCCCTCTTACCTTTTTCACTCTCAACGTTTCAGTTCCCCTTCCCTTCTATACCTCTGCCTCCAGAACCCACAAAGAACCCTTCGCCGCCGACTCATAAAATCGCCGCCGTAGACCCTAATCTCCTTCACAAACAGCGGTCGACCACTCCCTCCCGTCGGAAGTCGTCTCTCTTTCATCCCGAACCATAGACTTCAGCACCCGCCGCAACCCTTCGACGCCGACTCATCACTACCCCTTTGCAACCCTTCGGCGCCGCCGTAAAACATCATCTCCTTCACAAACAGCGGTCGGCCCGTCGGAAGTCGTCTGTCTTTCCCCCCGAACCATCGACTTCGAACTCGCTTGATCGACTCCCGTCCACGATAGTATAGCTGCGACAGAGGCAAGTATACTCCGAATGCTTTTATTGTTGTCGTCTCTTTCATTACGGCATTGCATGTTGTTTTCTGAGTGTCTTGCGCAGTGCATGAAATTTTTTGATTGTCTTGTGCAGTGGTAGTTCTATCACAGTAGTGGTAGTTCTATCACTGTTGTGGTAGTTCTATCACTGTAGTGGTAGTGTGGTATATCACTCTAGTGGTAGATGTGTAAGTATAGTTGTATATCTAGCATTATAGTCGTAAATCCTTCAAAAGCTAATGATTGTCTATCGCTGGATTCGTTCAAATATCACTAAAGTGGTAGTTATTTGTAAAGTTTATGTTTATAGGGCTATCACTGCAGTGATATTTACAACTTATTTTTTGTTCTTGAAAGTACCACTACACTGGTACATTTGTTAGTTCGTAGAATTGACTTATATTCCAATTAAACCAGGAATGGCAAGGACAAAATGGTGAAGCCAGATTTGGGAGTGTTGGATGTCTCAACTATTGTGAGCTTTGGCAAGGTCGTCTGCTGAGTGAGTGGAAGAAGGATTGGTAGAAAACTAACTATTTCGTTAGCAGGATTGTGGAAATAGTTACAAACATGCTCGAGGACGAGAGTAACCTCATGCTTGAAGAGTTGACAGTTAAAGCTTCTGAGGCACACGAAACATTGTTCCCTGCAGCTACTCAAGTGACCCAGCCATCCTTCGCCAACTGATTCTTTTTTGCTTATGATTTTAGGGGACTATTTGGTTATTCGAAGTTGAAGGATAATTTGGTCTTTGTTTACATTTCGGACACCCGTGTTGAAACAACTTTATTGATCCTATGGATGGGAATTACCTATTATGGTGTCTTGTTTAATATTTGTGTTGTTTGAAAAACAGTTGGTAATTATAAACGCGTACCAGTACTCTGGTACATCTATCACTGCACTGGTACATGTACCAGTATACTGGTACATCTATCACTGGACTGGTACATGTACCAGTCCATTTGTACATGTACCATTCTATGTGATAAAAATAATTCAGAATATAACCAATATACGTTATATAATTTATCTCCCTAAACCACAGTTCTTTAAAAATTGAGCACAGTTCATAAAACGGGGAAAAAAAACAGGATTCAACAAATAGAAGTTGACAGGATATCACTATACTGGTACATCTATCACTCTACTGGTAAATGTACCAGTACTGTGGTAAATATATCACACAACTTGAAACATCGTTATTTAATATTTGTGTTGTTTGGAAAAAGTTATAAACGCGTACCAGTACTGTGGTACATCTATCACTCCACTGGTACATGTACCAGTCCACTGGTACATCTATCACTGGACTGGTACATGTACCAGTCCATTTGTACATGTACAATTCTATGTGATAAAAATAATTCAGAATATAACCAATATACGTTATATTCCGAGGGGACGTCGTTTGAAAAACAGTTGGTAATTATAAACGCGTACCAGTACTCTGGTACATCTATCACTGCACTGGTACATGTACCAGTATACTGGTACATCTATCACTGGACTGGTACATGTACCAGTCCATTTGTACATGTGCCATTCTATGTGATAAAAATAATTCAGAATATAACCAATATACGTTATATAATTTATCTCCCTAAACCACAGTCCTTTAAAAATTGAGCACAGTTCATAAAACGGAAAAAAAAAACAGGATTCAACAAATAGAAGTTGACAGGATATCACTATACTGATACATCTATCACTCTACTGGTAAATGTACCAGTACTGTGGTAAATATATCACACAACTTGAAACATCGTTATTTAATATTTGTGTTGTTTGGAAAAAGTTATAAACGCGTACCAGTACTGTGGTACATCTATCACTCCACTGGTACATGTACCAGTCCACTGGTACATCTATCACTGGACTGTTACATGTACCAGTACTGTGGTAAATATATCACACAACTTGAAACATCGTTATTTAATATTTGTGTTGTTTGGAAAAAGTTATAAACGCGTACCAGTACTGTGGTACATCTATCACTCCACTGATACATGTACAATTCTATGTGATAAAAATAATTCAGAATATAACCAATATACGTTATATTCAGAATATAACCAAAAGAGAGCGTCGTCGTTGCTGGTATACTCTATGTTGAGGTCAAATCCGAGGGGACGTTTGCCGGCAGACTTGTGTACACAGGTACCTCCACCATTCAACTGGACGATGTGATCATCCATTTTTTAAAATAATGGATCCCGCCAGCCGTGTAGTGATGAACCAGAGCTATGGTTCTCCACGGCGGCGGCGAATATTCAAAGTACCAGTTCGACAGCCCCAGCGCGTTGAACCGGCTGACGATGCAGGTCAGGTTGGAGGTCGGAGGCGAAGGGAAATAGCAGAGACGGGAAGCGGAAGTAGAAACAAATGGAAAGGGAGTAGAAACGCCACAATTTCCATCCATGGTTCCAGCTAAATTGCCCAACTTCCCGTGCATCATTAATATGCCAGTTATTCTTTTCTCCATCCATATTTATAGAAGACAGCCATTAATAGTTGCCTGATAATTAAGTAGAACCCTGACCAATCAAATGGGGGGTGTCGAAAATCACTACCCCTTTAGGGGTTAGCATAGTATCCGACCCCCAATGGTTATGAAATGGTTGTAGGAAAATGATAACACATACTTCTGCAATTTTATGGAAGAGAGAGAGAGTGATAGAATTGAAAATACAGAAATGATGAGCTGATATGGTATCCTCAGCATTTTCAAATTAGATGAACATTTAGAGTAAGAAAGATGCACTTGATTGAGAAATCCGGAATTTCATCAATTGGAAACACCAATTGATGCCCAATCCAGGATTTCATTCAAACACAAAATCTTGCATTACATCACTTTGCACAACAGAGCACTACTCGTTGCATCTGAGTTCTTGCTTATCATTTTATGTATCAAAGCCAGAGTAGACGCCACTATCTCTCAACAACCTCTTTTCTTCCTCGACATAATTCTTTCCCCTGCTAGCCTGACCAAGCTCTCGTTTCCTCTTCTCCTTCTGCGAGAATGAAAGCTGATTCTTCTCCTCCTTCTCTTTCCGGGTCTGTGAATGCATCAGCTGCTCCCCAGCCATTAGAGCTGCCCTTGTTTTCTGCCGCTCTTCGTAAGACTCTCCATTCTTGTCCTTGGTGGCAGCAAGGCGTTCTTCTTTGCCCGTAGACCAGGTCCAGTTGGGCTCTGTGTCGTCTTTAGGCGGTGGCATTCTCAGAAGTGAGGGGCCACCTTTGTATCCATGCCGCCTCAGTTCTTCAAAGTCCACAGCTCCACCCCTACGCCTTACAAACTTGCCTAGAAACAACATAAAAGGAAGATGAGCCACGACGTTAAGTCAACTTTTCAAGGGTATCATACCTAAAGCTCTCTCTCTCTCTCTCTCTCTCTCTCTCTCTCTCTCTCTCTCTTTTTTTTTAATGGCAATGCAAATTAATTAATCAAACCCAGAAATTACAAAGAAAAAGAAAACACCAGCCTGCTCTTCTGCAAACCGATGCAGGTGAGAGCAAGAAACTAAAACAGGCCGGATAGACCTCTATACTAAACTATAAACTAACAAGGGAACCACAAAACGTGTCCCAAAAAGATATATATGTCCAAAAAGCTCCAATTATTAACCCATCAGACCAATTTCAAAACGATGCTGCACGATTACTGCTGTTTAAACCAACAGAGGATGCTTATTAACTCTACAAAATACTGCATCCTGTCATCAATCAATCAGGACGATATGTGAAGCTTTTGTAGGTAGTGAAATTTTTTCCTACAACCCTTTGAAATCACTGCCTATTTCAGCACCAGCAGCAGCGACAGCACTTGCAGAAGCTGGTTCAAACTGATTCAGGGGAGGGGTACTACAAGAGCAACTATTGCACGGTCAGTTGATCACCCTGGTTCATAGCATCAAGATCAAGTAGTTATCAAGACGCTTAGGTGTTCTGTACCCCCCTATAGTTCTCGTTCAGCCTAAACTAACACCACCTAGATGATAGCATGATAAATAGCGACTAGTCCACGAATTCCCATATCCAAACAGAAAATATGAAACCACAAGAGTCAGAATCCATCAATTGTCAATTTCAATACCCAAACGATCTCTTAAACAGCAATCTGGTTTGCAATTAAAGCAAATTTCTTCACCTTTTCTCAAGCAACTACTGAGTGGAGAAGACAATCAACAGTTAAGTTGCAAAACAGTTGAATTATGCATTAGCTCTTTCAGTATTGCTGTCACTTTCACTGAATCTTTTACCTATTGGTTTCAAATTGACAACTTGAGGGTTAAGTAAAAACCAGGAAGCTTATGATTATACATAAAAAATAAACCCTGGAAGCTTCTTTCTATAACGAGTCCAGGATCGCTATGCTTCGGCAGAGTTCAGTAGTTCTACCAAAAGGTAAAACACTTGAAGTTTCAGACAGTGAGTACCTTTCAAGTTCTTGTGCTTCAAGGCATTCTTGGTTTTCGTCTTGGTGGTGCCACCATCACCTTCAGAATCCGAAGCCGAAGACGACGTGGACGATTCATCATCTGAATCCGGAGAATCTTTGCCTTCGTCGTCGTCGCTCCACGGAATTGCCCTTTTCATGATTCTCCGGCAACACACTGTCCATCAACAATAAATCACGGGCACGGCAATAAGTCGAAAACGCCATCATCAACAAAATTGTAAAGCTCGAAGGGCAAAAGAAGAAGTACTTCTAATGCCAACGAGGAGAAATTGGACTTACAGAGCACCGCTGATTCGACGGAGAAGCTTATTAGGGTTTGGAATCCGACAAGAGAAGGTGGGGAACTGGCCGCCAACTGGGGGTGTGACCTGCGAGTCTGCAACTCGTCGGCCTTCTTACCTCCAAGGTTCTAGTTCTAAATTCTAATCTCTTCAATTCTTATTTTTCGTGAAATTACAGTAGCACCCCTGCGGTTTGAACCAGTTACCGTGGTGGCCGGTGGGTAGTACACTTTACAGGTCTGGCCACTCTGAAACTGCGCCGTTTTGGTCTAAACGAAAGAAATACACATGCATCTCACGGACGTCCCCAAAATCGAAATCCCTAGCCCTCTCGCTCTTCGTCCGCCGTTCCCTTTCCCTCCCTCCCGCAGCCGCGTACAACCGTTGATACTGTGGAGTCCATAGTGCTCTGAGGTGGGTTTTTTTTTTCAGTAGCCGGATCGTTCGCCATTAATGGATATTGAAGAAGTTGTCAGAGATGGCTCCCTTGTGTTGCTAAAGCAAGGAGCTGAGGCTGTAAGTTCATTTACTTTCATCATCTTCCTCAGAACTTGGATTAGGAACTTCTCACATGTTGCCTTCTCCTTAAGTGGAAGTACATCGTTGTAACATGTAAAGTCTGCAAATTTTGATGAATTAATGAGTTTGGTGCTATATTTTGCAGAGGGTTTTTGAGTCGAATTTTGTGGGGAGGAGGGCGGTGGTTAAAGAACGGTTCTCAAAGAAGTACAGGCACCCAACTCTAGATGCTAAGCTAACCCTCAAGAGATTGAATGCTGTGAGTTATCATGCATCTTTCTTGTATTTCTTTGAGACTGATAATAAAAAAGGAGCCTTTTTGCCCCTTCCATAAGTGATTATTGATGAACTGGATTTTTTTTTTGGAGCAGGAAGCTAGATGCACGACGAAAGCAAGACGACTCGGAGTTTCCACTCCTTCTCTCTATGCCGTGGATACTGTACTGCACAGCTTAACATTCGAGTTTGTCGACGGTCCTGCTGTGAAAGATGTCCTCCTTGAATTTGGATCAAATGGTATAGTGGAAGAACGATTGGACGATATTGCTATGCAGATTGGAGCTGCAATTGCGAAACTACATGATGGCGGTCTTATCCATGGAGATTTGACCACCTCAAACATGCTAATCAGGAATGTTTCCAACCAATTGGTGAGTTATTTTGTCTGTGCCCGTCTCTTTGCTTTTTGTGCTTTCCATAGTTGTGTAGATCGGTCCGATTATCCTATATGTTTGGAGAAAATAATCATATAACCTGGCCTGTGAATTTGCAGGTTCTCATTGATTTTGGTCTGAGCTTTACATCGACTCTTCCAGAGGATAAAGCTGTTGACTTGTATGTATTGGAGCGAGCGTTGCTCTCAATGCATTCTTCTTGCGGGAATGTGGTAAGCCATAATCTTTGGTCACTGTAGGCAAGAAGTTAAATAATCACACCAATCTGGGATTAGAATGTTACTTTCTTTTCATTGAATGCATCTTTTGAACTCGTGATCCTTGGGAATCATCTTTGCAGTTAGTAAATATGAGTATTTGGATATATGTTTTTGACTAAAACCTATTTCGAGAGACTATTGCTCCCCCTGATGTTAGTCATTAATGTACACAGATGGATCGCATACTTGCTGCATACAGGAAATCTTCAAAGCAGTGGTCAGCAACATTCAATAAGCTAGCTGAAGGTGCAGTCCTGCTCTATTGCATTCTTGGTTTTGCTCTTTTTGGTCTCAATCGGTTTTCCTTTTTTCTGATTGTCTTCGCCTGCCTGTTTCAGTTCGGCAGCGGGGTCGAAAACGCACCATGGTTGGATAAGCCAAGAAATCTCCATTGTCTACTTATTCATCTGCACAACGGAGAGAAGCAAGGTTCTCTGTGCAACTTATTATATAAGTACCGCGATGAGTTCGAGACTTGATTATTTTCTAAGATCACTGTCGACAGTTGTTTCCATTGATGTTATTACGCTTATTAGGAGCCTTGTACAATTTAGTATCCGAATTCAAGGGCTCAAGATAGGGTGCATAACCCATGGTTATGCACCCATCAATAACCAAATCTGGACCCTTCATTTAGAAAATCCAGATCTAAGGATGGAGAATTAAAGACTATTTTTATTTTCACTAGCTTTCTTAATTGACTCATATCTTTTTCGTTTTCACTCGGATTTTAATTTTTTTTGGACAGATGGAACGAGTTCACCGTGCTCTACAAAATGAGATCAATTTTCAATATTTTTTTAGGAAAAAAAATTCTGGCCTCTCGGTACCAACTGCATACCATATGGTATCTTCTTCGTTTTTAATTCGTTTTTGAAAACGTTTGCACAGCAGGGATGAGTTCATCATGATCTACTGGATCTACAAATTTCTGGGTGAACAAATTACAGGACCAAAAAATACCACACAATACCATACAATACCACCCTGGTACGGGGTGGTATTGTATGGTATCTTCTTCGTTTTTAATTCGTTTTTGAAAATGTTTGCACAGAAAGGACGAGTTCATCATGATCTATTGGATCTACAAATTTTTGGGTGAACAAATTACAGGACCAAAAAATACCACACAATACCACCCTGGTACGGGGTGGTATTGTGTGGTATACAATGTTAAAAGTTGTAAATTACAATTAATATACTTCTACTATCATGTATTCAACCATCCTACAGTATTGGTTTGTTCATACCACCATGGTACGTTTTTCAAAACATAGGTATGCTTTTATTTCAATACCAGTCAATACCATATGATATAGGCTGGTAAAAAATGGCTCAATTTTTTTTGTTCGAAAAATATATTAAAGTGGATATCATTTTGAAGAGCACAATTAATCTGATCTAACTGTACAAAAAAAATTAAATTTCGACTTCAAATGAGCGAGAAATCGTCCGTCAAAGATTAAAAGAGGAAAAATTAAAGGCTTTCCATGAGAGAGAGGATGCTGATGTCATGCTGATGTCATGCTGATGTGGACGGGTTACTCATGGTTACTCATCATAAGGTTACTGACCTGATCCATTCCCGAATTCAAGCCAAGCTGTCATGAACTTCACTTGCCAAGTTGAGCACTTGAGCTTGCTAAGCTACGATTTTCAGAAACGGGCCAAGCTCTAGGACTTTACGTGTCACTCTTTATGTTGAACAATTTGATGACGAAACTCGAAAGTGAAGGAATATGCTATGATGGCTTGACGAAAGGATCATGGTTTCACTGTAAACTACGTGGTGCTGATAAGCTACTGATGAGATAACCAAGTCCAAGACCCTCTTTCGGCTAAATTGGGCTTTATTTTCTGGGCCCAGGCTCACCACATTCTTCCCGTTTGGACTTTGGAGAATTTCTCCGCTTCTTTCCACCAGCCCAAATTCAATTAAAAAAAAACAAAATATTAGATTATTTGTAAAACGAAGAAGCTCGGAGTTTCAAGCTCTGTTCTGTTCGTCTTCTCCGGGAGTCGCCGCCGACGGTGATATTCCATCCGAGTTCCAATGCCACCTAATCTGCACAACACTCACGTAAAGCTCCTTGCTTTTGATCTCCTCTCCCTCACCCAAACACCGAATCCGCATTCCTCTTCGTCGGACACTATCTCCTTCTCTCGCCGCGGCAGTCCCCTCTCCCGCGTCGAGATCCTCGGTACCGTCACCTTCCGTGACTCCAAACCGGGCAAATTCCTCAAATTCTCCATCGACGACGGGACCGGATGCGTCCCCTGCATACTCTGGCTCAACCACATGACCTCGCCTTACTTCTCCCGCCGACGCCCACAAGATGTTCGATTAATTGCCCATGTGGCCAGCGACTTCGCTTCGCTCATCAAGATCGGGACAGTGGCTAGGGTACGCGGCAGGGTCACTGGATACCGAGGCTCGGTGCAAGTTACCGTATCAGACGTCGTGATCGAGAGAGACCCTAATGTGGAAACCTTGCACTGGCTGGATTGTATGCGGCTGGCCCGCAAGTGTTACGACCCCCTGCCCCATCGCAAGTAACCAATTCAAAGCGGTAAGCTTTTTTCCCCGTCTCTCAAACATTCCTAGCTCTATTATGATGGGCTATTTTAGTAACTCGGTTTCCATGAATGGACGGGTGTGTAGACATGGTTGGTGTTAGTTTGGAGTGCTGTTGACGTATCTTTTTGAACACGATGATAGTTGGGGAAATGGAAGGTTGATGTTAACTTATCAGTGTGGACTGTGGAGCCATGTTTTAGACTTTACAGAACAAAGAGAAGGTAGCTATAGGAGGCTATAGCGGACGAATCAGTACTTGAAGTAGATGGTAACATTTTAAGGCTCTTGTCATGTGAGAAGGGAATCCCACCACATGATGGGGAAAACTTGGAGCCTACCTCCTCTTACGTATCAGTTGAAGAAGCTGAGTCTGGTTGGCTGGGGTCGCTTACTTCTCTTCATTGTCCCAAGTTTGTAGGTTTGATTGGATAGAGACTAGAGAGTTTCCAATGTGGTGCATTGGATGGATACTCTTGAACCTTAAGTTGGTTAAGTGCTTCTTTCACATCTGCTGGCTTAATCCGGCCTAATTCCTATTCGACTAGAGTTCTAGGTGGAAGATAGTATAGGATAACTGTACATGTTATTGCAATGGATAAGCATTCTGGTCTTATTATGCACACTGTGCCTCTGCTACTTCACTAGTCATTCCCTGTGGTTCCTCCCATGAAAGAGTTGAAGAAAGCCTTAACTGGATTTCCTTCTCGTATTGGGTCTCTGTTAACTTGTTACTGGAGATTAACTGGTGATAGTGCTGCCATAACAAAAACTGGTGATATTCCCTCTGCAAAGCGTATTCATGAACTTACCTCATTGCAGAGCTGTAATTTAGCAGCATTCATTAATAAGTTTATGTTTGCTTCACACAGGCTTTAAAAACATGGGACTTGAAATGTTAAACAAACACACTGCTTTCATTTAACTTCCGAAAACAACTATTCACCCTAGTCCCACTAAGTAGCAATAATAAAGTCTAAAGGGCTTGAAATGGCATCGATGATATTGCTGAACAAATTATTTGGCATCTCAGTACTTGCATTTCATGACTAAAATACATTTCTGATCTCACATTCCGATCGAACCGATTTTATTTCAAAACTCTAATTACAGAGTACACTTCTGCTTTACTTTTTGCTGCACTGACTTACTTTGAAGCGAAAGCGAGCGCAATAGTATTGACTGATCTCATCTCAGCCTGGTTTACCTTGATGTATCAGCACACGCCAGTTTCTGCTATTGCCCATTGGAATGGTAACATAGGTGTGGTACCCCAAATTCTGTCTGTCTAATCTTGGTGATGATTGGGTTATAATGAAGAACAATATTCTTAATCCTAAATGTCTGTGTCTGCTTGTCTCTAATCTCACATTATTAAGCATTGATGTCAACAGGTGGCTACAGCAAATCATAGTACTGGAAAAAAAAAAACGTTTGCAGGAGGGGAAAGGCCCAGATGAAGGGAAGGGAAGGCGTGGGTGGACTTGATATGTGATTTGATGTTCGAAAATATGGATGCCTGAGTGGAAGTGTACTTGTGGAAGAAAAGAGAGGCAAGGCAGAGAAGAATGGAGGGTTGAAAGTTGAAACGCATTGATTCCTTTTTTATTTAATGGAGGTGAAAACAGAAGTGAAAAGCTTCACATCAGCGTGATTAACAAGAGAGTTATGGGGGGTTGCCTGCCTTGCCTCTTTTACTTTGCTTATGGGGTTTCCTTTCTTGGCCGTGTGGCAGAAGCACGTCGCCATCGTTTGAGCTTGAATTGGGAATGAGCCCTTCACACTCTCTTTATCTCCCAAAGTCCCCTCCCACTCCCATATTATTACAAAGGTTTCAGATCAAGATCAAGATTCTCACTCCAGTCTGCTCGTGGTCGGCATTTTAATGGTGTCTCAACTCTCAAGTTCTTAACCCAGAAGAGGCTTTAGAATTTGGTATTAGTAGTAGGGCTATTATTCTGAAATTTATGCTTGCGTAGGCCTCTAATATCCGTCATTGAAAAGTATGGCTGGTTATTTGGTCCGGACCGTTTGGTTTTACTCGAAAACCGGACCGTATAACTCGGACCAGGATCGGACTGGGACCGGATAGCAAACAATCCAATCTCATATTCGGGCTTAGATTTGAGGTAAAAAAACCGGATAAAAAAGACCGGATAAGAGATCCCAACACTCAAATCCCCACAAGTTCAATATAAAATCAAGATCAAATTGGGACCGGACCGGATCAAGACCGGACTGTATCCAATTCAATCTTTGGTCCTTATATTCCAGAAAATACCAGACTGGGACCGGATCAATTTGGTCCAATTTAACCGGATTGGATCGTATAGCCACCCTTATTGAAAAGCCTAAAAAAACCAACATTCCCAACCTTCAAACCATTCCAATTTGTTGTGATTTTACATTCTAAAATTTTTGGCTTTTTACATTTCTACTGTTTTGCTATGCTATCATTAATTTTTAGTTGTCAAACGAGACGTGTACATTTGCTCAAAATGGTTTGTTTCGTGTCATTATGTGCAAAATGACTCATCAATTTGCCACATAAAAAAACATGGGAAGGTCAAATGTAAATCTATCTAAAAAGAAAAAGATTGTTCTGAACATTTCTTAAAATTTAATTTTTGACTCCTTTGTTTTACCTGAAGAAGAGACATATTGAATAAGTGATGACAATTTGGTCATTATCTGCTTCCTTTATTGGCCAGTTTGATACATTTTGATAGTAGCGAGTTATGTTTATTTAAAAAATAATAGATAAATATATTTGTAAATTTTCAATGGCATCTTGAGTATAAAATTCTATTATCTACTGGTTGTCGGGGTTAGCTTGTTTGTAAACTTGTGAGAGCATACATAAAAAAAAACCTTGTGAGGGCGTTTGATTAATACCCTTTTAACCCCTCCAAATAAATTGTTGCTTCTGAGGAAGAGAGAGAGAGAGAGAGAGAGAGAGAGAGAGAGAGAGAGAGATGGTAGTCTTGTTGGTACGAGAAATGGAAGGAGAGAAGAGAGACTGAAAGCTTGGAGCAGAAGGCAGAAGAAGCTAACAACACAAAACTCAAAAGCGGTCTCCTTCCTCTCCTATTTTGCTCCACAAAACACTGCTGCTCTGCTCTGCTCCTCTCTGTCTTCCCCAGCCACTACATCTTTATTTAATTTTGTTTTCCCAAGTTTCATTTCTGGCACTGGCAGGCAGGAGCTAAAGCAAAACGACAGGGAAGGGAAAGCCCATTCCATTCCAAACAAGGTAAAAGGTGTGTGACTGTGTGCCCCATTGCCCAAGCCCCAAAAACACCAACCGAAACGATGTCGTAGTTCCTTTTGGGTCATAAAGAACCAATGAATAAATGAGAGAAGAGATTGCTTTCCCCAAAGTGCAAAATGAAAATCAAGCATCAGTCATGTTTTTGTCCTAACCTAACCCTCTTTCACTTCTGCTCTGCTCTTTCCCTTTGACTGCCTTCCTCCCTTTATTAGTTTCCATCTTTCTTATTACTATGCTTGGCTGTTTTCTTGTAAACAGTTGGGCTATTTCTGAAAAAGCAAGTGATTCCCCGCGTATGTCTGTTCCCTCATCCAATTCAATGCTGCTATAACTTATAACTTTAGGTTCAGATTATGCATTTTAAGTACGGGGAGCTGAGATTGAGTATCTTTGTACATATGAATGATTTGTTCTATGCTTCGTTACAGTTGCAGGTCATTTAGGTTACTATCGTTCCGAGCCCGAGATCGACAGTTGTGTAACAATCACCAAGTGATCACACTACATTGGCGGCATATAAAAACATACTAGCAAACAATTTTTGATGATGTTGGAAGGGAATATCCCGGACTATCAAACCCTAGTGAGCACCACCTGCTAATTAAGGAAAATGGTTCATCACTATCTTAATCTTACACAATTTTTCAGCATTAGATCGGGTCTTTTGTTGTACGATTGTTCAAGTAGGTCAAAATCTGAATTCTCTACCAAGTGGACCCATTGCTATTATTGTCTAACCACTTCCAACTAGCTAGGTTATCCAAATCATTCAAGAATGATGCATGCACACAAGGCTGGACCAACAATAATTGATGATGAACTAGAAATAAACAGAGGAATGAAGGAAATCCGGCAGAAACCTAATTTCTGTCACGTGAAGAACAACAAAGGACAATAACATTATAACACAATGCAACTTGCAGAAGAGCCCATAACGAGGCAATGTTATGGACACAAACCTGACGACTGCAGCTCCAACAATTGCAGGTGGCCATTTGGTAGTGTAGTAGATATATTTGGATATGGACCGTACAGGCCACTAATGGAGGACCAAATCCAGTTGTGGACAACACAACACCACAATTTTCACAAACTCGATTGAGCACTGGATCTGCACTCTTTCTTTTTGTTCCAGTTTACCCATCATATATTGCCTTGCATGTAAACTTGTAATGCTGCAAATCGAAACTAACATCAAGTGCAAGTAGTGGGGGATCCAGGGGTGGCCACCCCGGGCCTCGGCCCAACCCTCTTCCGGATTCGGAGCTAGTACAGTCCTTATGAGTTTATTGATTTTAGGTCTAGTGTTATTTTATAATAAGATTGTGTGATTGAGAAAATGGGATAGATGAACATATTCACATCACAACTCTAAATTTAGCGTAGAAATTCTAACTCGAATGATTCATTTCTAAGAAAAACAAACAATGTAAATTCTAAAATTCTAAAACGTAAAAGACTAAATGAACTATGCGGTTTGTTCCCTTGAAAAATTACTAAAGCAGTTGGTGAAAATAGGAATGAACACACAATACAAATTGATTGGTCAATTGATTTGTCTAGTATTGACATTGTCTGTTTCAACAGCTATAATGGAGAAAACCTTTTCAAAAATAAAACAAGTGAAATATGATTTGCGCAACAAAATGAGAGATGAATTTTTCATTGATTGGTTAACTATTTTATTTGAATGAGAGTAATATGTTATTGGTATGGATGTAACTCCATTATTGATGAATTCGCTATATTAAAAGATCAATATGTACAATTGATATTGTAAAAAAGCCTATAATTTTTTTACGGTATCTAATATTTTAATGAAGTTCGGCCTAATGCTCTACTATATTCTGGATCCGTCGCGCTGAGTGCAAGTCCAAGTGCTTTACGTTGGTGACAGAGTACATCACTTAATCAATCTAGTTTATTATTTCGACATAATTTATGTTTTTTTTATAATTGTAAACTTGGTCATTTTAGACATTTGGTCCAAGTCGCATGCTTAAAATACTTTCTTCCATCCTTAAAAGACTCCACAAATCCTTTAAAGAAAAAGAAACAATAAATTGTGGAGTCACTTAATAATCATTTTACAATCACTAGAGTATGGCATGTCCCGATGGTTTGATTCATTTGGTCAATGACATAAATAACAATTATAATTATAAGAAACATGACACATTTTTATATGAATTATAAAAGAATTTAAATTATTTCATCACCGAAAAAATCAAAATGAAATATACATCATAACTTTTCCCTCACATCCTAACCGATTATTGTCCAAAATTCTTACCAAAAATAAAGGAAAAGAAAACATGTATAAGGGAAGTGACATCATAAAACATTACAAAACTACACTTCAATTTACCTCGATATCAAATTTAATGCAATTGTTTTGAAACTTATTTGAGATTGCCTTCCCATCAACGTCTTTATATCCACTAACAAAAGTGCCTTCATCTCCATCATTGATATGATCTCAATTTGGCCATTAACCAGACTAGAATCGATTGATCGAAGAGGCAATCCAAGAGCTTTGAAGAATGTTAATTTTTGGTTAAGTCTTTTGATCATTTTAGGTAGCCAACTTGGGACGTGTGTAACTCGAGATTGGCTTGGTGAAAATTCAACTTCAAGGGCTTGTATTGAAGAAGAAGAGTTGTTATACATGTTGACATGCTTTGGATATTAATTGGAAACCCAGAAGGTTGTTTTACAGTCTGTGCAAAAGTGGAAGTTGAAACCGGAAAACTGGCAGAAAAAGACTAAGGCATGGAGACAGTTCGAGGAGGGTACTTTGGAGCTCGATTCCTGGAGATTGAGGAAGAGTCGATTTTCCAGATTCATATCTCATGAAAGTAGGTTTCTTCTGCTACAACGATATGGCATTGGATAACTAGAATGAAGACTGGAAGGCCTCGAATGAAAGCTCCAAAGATCGTATCGAAGCTGAGTTTCTGTCTTTGGAAACCAGGCAATCCGAATCCTTCCCGGATTAGGATTCCTTTGATGTTTTGTGTTTAATTCCTTTTCATTATTGGTTTTGAATTCCTTTGTCAATTGTAATGTGTTTAGAGTTCTTTTAAGAGTAGTAGGATTGGCTAGGTCTATTTAAGTAGCTTTGATTCATTGTAATTTTCTGTTTTGAGTTTAATTGAACAAACCGTGAGGTTGTGGTTCCATAGCATCTTGCTTTGTGAATTTGGAGAACTTCCTAGATGAATCTAAGTGAGTTTTCGAGCTTGTATCGTTCAGTTATTCCCACTGTTCGTGGCCAAGTATCTACCCTAAGTTTTCAAGCCTCTCTTCCCTTCGAGAAGGTTGCACGAGATTGCCATCCAAACACGAGCACAAAAACTCTGTTTTTGTGATCTTTCTTACCGAAGTTCGATGCAATCCTTGGATTGAATCCAAGCCGTGCTTCTCTGATCAAAACCACCCACCTTGGGGGGTTATCAAGTGGCATCACGAGCATGGTTCAAAACAGTGGCCAAAATGAAGGAAAGCGTCGCTGCGACGACGACATGGACGAGAATGGAGGAGAGGTTTAAACGCAAAATTGACCAAAAAATTCTCTGGCAGTGTTAGACCCTGCATTGGTGTTTCCAGAACCAATAAAGAAGAAGAAGCAGGCAACCATGGCAGGACAAGTGTTCGACATGGAAAAAATACTAGATCGCATGGAGGAGAGGTTTAAACGCAAA